CTGCTGTTTCACCTCATCTCGTGTCCATGCTGCTTGCCCCTGAGGGAGACCCGGATGCACTTGACATCCCGACTCCGCGCTCTTACGCGGAGGCGATAGAGGGTCCCTACTCCTCTCAGTGGCAGGCAGCCATGGACGCAGAGATGGCTTCCTGGAAGTCCACAGGCACCTACGTTGACGAGGTTCCCCCACCTGGGGCGAACATCGTCAGCGGCATGTGGATTTTCAGGGTGAAGCGGCCGTCGGGTTCTCCGCCTGTCTTCAAGGCGCGTTACGTGGCTCGTGGTTTCAGTCAGCGGCAGGGAGTTGACTACTTTCAGACTTTCTCCCCCACCCCGAAGATGACCACTCTTCGGGTACTGCTGCACATAGCTGCTCACCGAGACTACGAGCTGCACTCTCTTGACTTCAGCATTGCTTTCTTGCAGGGCAGCCTTCACGAGGAGATCTGGCTGCGCCGCCCACCTGGCTTCACTGGGACGTTTCCTCCTGGCACCCAGTGGAGCCTCCGGCGGCTAGTCTACGGTCTCCGCCAGGCGCCTCGTGAGTGGCACGACACACTGAGGACTACACTTGCGGCCCTTGGGTTTGCTCCTTCTACTGCCGACCCGTCGCTGTTTCTGCGCACCGACACTTCTTTGCCGCCGTTCTACATCCTCGTGTACGTCGACGACTTGGTCTTTGCTACAGCTGACACTGCTGGACTTGCCTACGTGAAGTCCGAGCTGCAGAAGAGACACACGTGCACAGACCTGGGTGAACTGCGCAGCTACCTTGGCTTGCAGATCACCAGGGACAGAGCACAGCGCACCATTACCCTGACTCAGTCACATATGGTGCAGCAGGTCCTTCAGCGCTTCGGCTTCACGTACTCCTCGCCTCAGGCCACTCCTCTGCCTACGCGCCACTCGCTCTCAGCTCTGCCTTCGGATGAGTCCGTAGAGTCGAGTGGCCCGTACCCAGAGCTTGTCGGCTGCCTCATGTACCTGATGACCTGCACTCGACCTGACCTTGCATACCCTCTTAGCATTCTGGCACGCTTTGTTGCTCCTGGGAGACACAGACCAGAGCACATGGCTGCAGCGAAGAGGGTGTTGCGCTACTTGTGCAGTACGTCGGGCATGGGGCTTGTGCTTGGAGGGCATAGTTCAGTGGTCCTCACTGGTCACGCAGACGCTTCTTGGGCTGACGACCAGGCTACGCAGCGGTCGTCACAGGGTTACACCTTCAGCCTTGGTTCCGGCTCTGTTTCTTGGCGGTCTACCCGCTCGTCTTCTGTTCTCGGCTCCAGTTGTGAGGCTGAGATCTACGCAGGGGCCATGGCTGCACAGGAGCTACGCTGGCTCACCTACCTGCTGACTGACCTGGGAGAGCCGCCTCGTTCTCCTCCAGTGCTGTACGTAGACAACAAGGCCATGCTGGCCTTGTGTCATGAGCACAGACTGGAGCACAGAACAAAGCACATCGCTCTCCGCTACTTTCTTGCTCGTGAGCTGCAGCAGCGTGGTCAGCTGCGCCTTGCTTACGTGGCCTCTGAGGCCAACACTGCTGATATCTTCACTAAGGCACTCGCGCCTTGTGATCATCAGCGCTTCTGCACTCTGTTAGGTCTTGTACCTACCTTGCCTCACTTGCTTACTTCTTGACCTTGCTTGTACTGTTACATATATATACCTGCCTGTTTAGCTTTATATATATGTGACCTTGCATGTGAACTGGCCTTGTGGCCTTGAACTTGTGCTCAGACTGTGTGGTGACGTTGTGATCCACCCTGAGCTTGCTTTGCCTTGCTTTGCTTGACTGGTCTTGTGACCCCTTGTTCTCCCCCACTTTGCCTATGGGGGTGTGTCAAACTTATACACTATAGTCTGTGTAGGCTGTAGTGGGGTAGCTCATATGGGGTACAACATTCTAGGGTTTGGTACTTGTACTCCTCATGCTGTTCAATCCATTCATTCTCGTTCCAATTGTCACACTACCCACTGGGATAAAAGGGCTTGTTGTCAAATGTTATTTTGTTGTTTGTATACAGTAGGCTATAGTGGGGTAGCCACTAAGGGGTACAACCCCTTTAGAGTTTCATACTTGTATCATTGCTTGCCTTCGTTCAATCCATTCTAGTTGGTTATCTTAACATTGTATTAAGAGCCATGGGTCCTTAGGACCTAAGCTTCTTCATAGGGCCCACCTGTTACCGCATTAGCCCACTGCCCTACCCCGAGTCGAGCTGCCCCTGTTAGCCGCGCGCCACTGCTGCAGTGCGATTTTTTTCTTAGCGCGCTGCGCCACCTACCCTGCCCGTGCGCATCCAGCCGCCGCGCCTTCCTGCCCTGCCCTTGCGCAGCCCGCTGCCACGCCACCTTGCCCTGCCCGTGCGCGGCTTGCGGCCGCGCCACCCTACCCTGCCCGTGCACAGCGCCGCCCGCCGCGCTCCCTGCCCTGCGTGTGCATGCCGTCCGCTTCCTCCCCTGCCGGCCGCCCCTCACCTAGTCAGCGCCGCCTTGCTGCCCTGCGCTACCAACGATGGCGACTTAAAATGTTCTCACTTTTGACGCAGATGGCCGCCCGATCGAATTTGAGACCTGGTTAGACGACCTTAGGCTATACCTTCAAAGCGAGTCTAAGGATCGTGTGTCCCTGTTCGCTCATACGTCTGGTAGCGCTGCCGCCCCTGCAGACACTGCTGACGCTGACACTCGTGACCAGTGGCTTATTCGCGACGCTGCTGCTCGCCTAGCTGTGCGAAACCACCTACCACTAGCCGAGCGCGCGCACTTTAGCCAGCAGAAAACCGCCAAGGACCTGTTCGACGCAGTCGTAGCTCGCTACAGCTCGCCTGCCACTGCTGCGCTAGGCCGTCTTATCCTGCCCTACCTCTTTCCTGACCTGTCCGCCTTTCCTACAGTCGCTGATCTCATCACCCACCTCCGCACTAGCGACGCTAGGGTGCGTGCTGCGACCCCTGCCGACTTCCTCGCCAAGAACCCTCCCCCTATTCACTACACCCTCTACCTCCTAGTCACTCGCCTCCCTGACTCTCTTCGTGCTGTCAGGGACACCTTCCTCGCCATGGACCCCACTGAGCTCACTATAGACCTCCTCAAAAAGCACCTTACTGCGGCCGAGGTTAGCATTAACACTGTAGGCGCTTCTCGAGGCACTCCTCGCACCCCCTTCTTCGAGGGGTGTTCCCCCTCTCCCCTCCTCCCCTCTGTCGCCACTGCTGCTGCTGTCGACCTCCTTGGTGCTGAGGAGGTTGGGGTTGCGTCTGCTTCCAGTGGCAAGCGCCGCAGCGGCAAGGCGAAGGGTGGCAGGGGTGGTGGGGATGGTGGGGGTGGGGGCGGTGATGGAGGCTCGGGTGGTGGCGGCGGGGGTGGTGGGAGCGGGGGGGTGGGGGGGGGGTGTTGGGGTCGGTGGTGGCGGCGGCAGTGGGGGTGGCAGCGGCAGAGGTGGCGGTGGTGGGAGTGGCAGCGGAGTCGGTGGCGGTGGTCGCAGTGGTGTGGCCCAGCGCGGCGGCTCTGGAGGCAGCCAGGCACAGCAGCAGCAGCGCCAGCGCCTGCCCCGTACGCCGCAAAACCTTCGTGAGTGGTACGCGCAGCGTCAGTCGCCTGGGGGTGGTGGTACCTGCCCGTATGTCATTCATACGAGTGAGTGTGCTGGTCAGACCTGCGGGAGGTTGCACACCCAGCACCGCTGCTTTTCCGCCCCGCCTTAGTGACCCTGGCGTGCTCAGCTTCCTGACTGCTCTGAACTGCCCAACTGGGCTGATCTGCTTAGGAGGGGAGTAGAGATCTTTGATCTTGACTATGATGCTATCCTTGCTGCCATGTATGCATTGACTGTTAGTGCTGAGGGTGACTGTTACCTGTGTGTTCCGCCAGACCCTGGTATAGAGGCTGCTGCTCCAGGTGCTTGTGAGTCTGCTGCCCTTGGTGCTTGCGAGTCTGCTGCCCTAGGTGCTAGTGAGTCCGCCCTCTCAGGTATTGAGCCTACTGAGGCCTTGTACACTTTCACGCTAGACTCAGGTGCCTCCCGCTGCTTGCTTCTCCGCGACAGCACCACAGTCACACCGCTCTCTGCACCGGTTCCGGTCTCCCTTGCTGACCCCTCTGGGGGACCTGTCCTTGCACGTTCCTCCACTGTCCTCCCCTGTCCGGCGGTCCCGTCTGGCTCACTTACAGGTCTCCACCTCCCCTCGTTCTCTACGAACCTGGTGAGTAACGCCGTCATCCAGGATGAGTGGGTTGACACCTTCACCCCTGGAGGACGTCGTGTGGCGATCTGCACGTGTGCCCGCACGGGCCGCCACCTGGCCACGTTCACCCGTCGGCCTGGGTCGAGTCTGTACACCCTGACTGTCGGGTCTCCCCAGGTTGCTGCTACTGGTCAGGTGTCCTTGTCCGGACCGGAGTCTGCCCCTTGCTTGTGTCGTCACCAGTCACACCACACCAGACTCTCCTCTGGCACCACCGCCTTGGTCACCCCCTCTCTGCCGCGCCTCCCCGCAGCATGCACTCCCGTCTGCTTGTCTCTGGTCTTCCCCAGTCCCTGTCGTCGCCGCCGCTCGCTCGCCTGCCCCGCCGTGTCTCCCTTGTGTCGAGGGGCGGCAGCGCGCCGCTCCTCACTCCTCGTTTCCCCCGACAGACGCTCCCCTGCAGACTCTCCACATGGACATGTGGGCCCAGCCCGCGTCCGAAGACAGGGCCGCGAGCAGTACTTTCTGCTGGTTGTTGACGACTACTCGCGGTACACCACGGTCTTCCCCTTGCGCAGCAAGGGTGAAGTCCCTACTGTCTTGATCCCTTAGATCCGCGCTGTTCGTCTCTTGCTCCGCGACCGTTTCCAGACAGACTTTCCTGTCCTACGTTTGCACTCTGACAGAGGTGGTGAGTTTTCCTCAGACCTCTTGCGGGACTTTTGTCACAGGGAGGGCATCCTCCAGTCGTTCACTTCTTCCGGCCTCTCCGCAGCAGAATGGGGTTGCTGAGCGCCGCATTGGCCTAGTCATCTCTCTCATCCTGTGCTCCGCTTCTCTCATCCTGTGCTCCGCTTCTCTCATCCTGTGCTCCGCTTCTCTCATCCTGTGCTCCGCTTCTCTCATCCTGTGCTCCGCTTCTCTCATCCTGTGCTCCGCTTCTCTCATCCTGTGCTCCGCTTCTCTCATCCTGTGCTCCGCTTCTCTCATCCTGTGCTCCGCTTCTCTCATCCTGTGCTCCGCTTCTCTCATCCTGTGCTCCGCTTCTCTCATCCTGTGCTCCGCTTCTCTCATCCTGTGCTCCGCTTCTCTCATCCTGTGCTCCGCTTCTCTCATCCTGTGCTCCGCTTCTCTCATCCTGTGCTCCGCTTCTCTCATCCTGTGCTCCGCTTCTCTCATCCTGTGCTCCGCTTCTCTCATCCTGTGCTCCGCTTCTCTCATCCTGTGCTCCGCTTCTCTCATCCTGTGCTCCGCTTCTCTCATCCTGTGCTCCGCTTCTCTCATCCTGTGCTCCGCTTCTCTCATCCTGTGCTCCGCTTCTCTCATCCTGTGCTCCGCTTCTCTCATCCTGTGCTCCGCTTCTCTCATCCTGTGCTCCGCTTCTCTCATCCTGTGCTCCGCTTCTCTCATCCTGTGCTCCGCTTCTCTCATCCTGTGCTCCGCTTCTCTCATCCTGTGCTCCGCTTCTCTCATCCTGTGCTCCGCTTCTCTCATCCTGTGCTCCGCTTCTCTCATCCTGTGCTCCGCTTCTCTCATCCTGTGCTCCGCTTCTCTCATCCTGTGCTCCGCTTCTCTCATCCTGTGCTCCGCTTCTCTCATCCTGTGCTCGCTTCTCTCATCATGCTCCGCTTCTCTCATCCTGTGCTCCGCTTCTCTCATCCTGTGCTCCGCTTCTCTCATCCTGTGCTCCGCTTCTCTCATCCTGTGCTCCGCTTCTCTCATCCTGTGCTCCGCTTCTCTCATCCTGTGCTCCGCTTCTCTCATCCTGTGCTCCGCTTCTCTCATCCTGTGCTCCGCTTCTCTCATCCTGTGCTCCGCTTCTCTCATCCTGTGCTCCGCTTCTCTCATCCTGTGCTCCGCTTCTCTCATCCTGTGCTCCGCTTCTCTCATCCTGTGCTCCGCTTCTCTCATCCTGTGCTCCGCTTCTCTCATCCTGTGCTCCGCTTCTCTCATCCTGTGCTCCGCTTCTCTCATCCTGTGCTCCGCTTCTCTCATCCTGTGCTCCGCTTCTCTCATCCTGTGCTCCGCTTCTCTCATCCTGTGCTCCGCTTCTCTCATCCTGTGCTCCGCTTCTCTCATCCTGTGCTCCGCTTCTCTCATCCTGTGCTCCGCTTCTCTCATCCTGTGCTCCGCTTCTCTCATCCTGTGCTCCGCTTCTCTCATCCTGTGCTCCGCTTCTCTCATCCTGTGCTCCGCTTCTCTCATCCTGTGCTCCGCCTCTCCTCGCCTCCTCCTCCCTTTCCCCACCTCCCCCCCCCCGCCAGGTCAAGCGCCGCGCATGTGGGCGCGCAGTGCTGTTGGAGGACGCCTTCGCCGCCTGCTGGACGCCAGGCGCGCGGGGGAGGGCGGGGGGGAGGGGGGGAGGAGCAGGGGCAGGCAGGGCAGTGGGGGAGACGACGCGGACGACGGGTGGCCGCAGCAGCAGCAGCAGCATGCGGGGGGGGAGGGCAGGGTGGCAGTGGCAGGGCGGGGGGCGAAGGTGCACTTCGTGCTGCCCCACGGGCGTCACTTTCGCCCTCTGGCGCGTGCTCTCCCCCCAGGTGCGCTCTTCCCCCCAGGTGCGCTCTTCCCCCTAGGTGCGCTCTTCCCCCCAGGTGCGCTCTTCCCCCCAGGTGCGCTCTTCCCCCAGTTGCCCACCTCCCCACTGTGCGCGCTTCCCAACCTCCACTGTTCTCTGCTGTTCCCATCTTCCCCCTTCCTCCCCCTCCTCTCCCCCTCCCCCTCCTCTCCCTCCCCCCCTCCTCTCCCTCCTCCCCCTCCTCTCCCTCCTCCCCCTCCTTCCCTCCTCTCCCTCCTCCCCCTCCTCCCCCTCCTCTCTCCTCCTCCCTGTCCTCCCCGTCCTCCCCGTCCTCCCCGTCCTCCCCGTCCTCCCCGTCCTCCCCGTCCTCCCCATCCTCCCCGTCCTCCCCGTCCTCCCCGTCCTCCCCGTCCTCCCCGTCCTCCCTGTCCTCCCCGTCCTCCCCTGCCCCGCTGCATGCCTGGGCCGCCCTGTCCCACCAGAGCAGGGTGCGGATCTGCTGCAGGCGCTGGTGGCGCTGGGGGATGGCGCAGGGGGGGCGCACGGGGGAGCATTCAGAGGAGGGGGGAGGGGAGTGCGGAGGCTGGAGGAACGGATGCGGGAAGGAGCGCGGGTGAGGGAAGGAGCGCGCGGGTGAGGGAAGGAGCGCGGGTGAGGGAAGGAGCGCGGGTGAGGGAAGGAGCGCGGGTGAGGGAAGGAGCGCGGGTGAGGGAAGGAGCGCGGGTGAGGGAAGGAGCGCGGGTGAGGGAAGGAGCGCGGGTGAGGGAAGGAGGCGGTGAGGGAGGAGCGGGGTGAGGGAAGGAGCGCGGGTGAGGGAAGGAGCGCGGGTGAGGGAAGGAGCGCGGGGTGAGGGAAGGGAGCCGGGTGAGGGAAGGAGCGCGGGTGAGGGAAGGAGCGCGGGTGAGGGAAGGAGCGCGGGTGAGGGAAGGAGCGAGGGTGAGGGAAGGCGCGCGGGTGAGGGAAGGAGCGCGGGTGAGGTGAGGAAGGAGCGCGGGTGAGGGAAGGAGCGCGGGTGAGGGAAGGAGCGCGGGTTGAGGGAAGGAGCGCGGGTGAGGGAAGGAGCGCGGGTGAGGGAAGGAGCGCTGGGTGAGGGAAGGAGCGCGGGTTGGAGGAAGGAGCGCGGGTGAGGGAAGGAGCGCGGGTGAGGGAAGGAGCGCGGGTGAGGGAAGGAGCGGGGTGAGGGAGGAAGAGCGCGGGTGAGGGAAGGAGCGCGGGTGAGGGAAGGAGCGCGGGTGAGGGAAGGAGCGCGGGTGAGGGGAATGCGCGGGTGAGGCAGGAGCGCGGGTGAGGGAAGGAGCGCGGGGTGAGGGAAGGAGCGCGGGTGAGGGAAGGAGCGCGGGTGAGGGAAGGAGCGCGGGTGAGGGAAGGAGCGCGGGTGAGGGAAGGAGCGCGGGTGAGGGAAGAGCGCGGGTGAGGGAAGGAGCGCGGGTGAGGGAAGGAGCGCGGGTGAGGGAAGGAGCGCGGGTGAGGGAAGGAGCGCGGGTGAGGGAAGGAGCGCGGGTGAGGGAAGGAGCGCGGGTGAGGGAAGGAGCGCGGGTGAGGGAAGGAGCGCGGGTGAGGGAAGGAGCGGGGTGAGGGAAGGAGCGCGGGTGAGGGAAGGAGCGCGGGTGAGGAAGGAGCGCGGGTGAGGGAAGGAGCGCGGTGAGGGAAGGAGCGCGGGTGAGGGAGGAGCGCGGGTGAGGAAGGAGCGCGGGTGAGGGAAGGAGCGCGGGTGAGGAAGGAGCGGGTGAGGGAAGGAGCGCGGGTGAGGGAAGGAGCGCGGGTGAGGGAAGGAGCGCGGGTGAGGGAAGGAGCGCGGGTGAGGGAAGGAGCGCGGGGAGGGAAGGAGCGCGGGTGAGGGAAGGAGCGGGGTGGGGAAGGAGCGCGGGTGAGGGAAGGAGCGCGGGTGAGGGAAGGAGCGCGGGTGAGGGAAGGAGCGCGGGTGAGGGAAGGAGCGGGGTGAGGGAAGGAGCGCGGTGAGGGAAGGAGCGCGGGTGAGGGAAGGAGCGCGGGTGAGGGAAGGAGCGCGGGTGAGGGAAGGAGCGCGGGTGAGGAAGGAGCGCGGGTGAGGGAAGGAGCGGGTGAGGGAAGGAGCGCGGGTGAGGGAAGGAGCGGGGGGTGAGGAAGGAGCGCGGGTGAGGGAAGGAGCGCGGGTGAGGGAAGGAGCGCGGGTGAGGGAAGGAGCGCGGGTGAGGGAAGGAGCGCGGGTGAGGGAAGGAGCGCGGGTGAGGGGGGTGAGGGAAGGAGCGCGGGGTGAGGGAAGGAGCGCGGGTGAGGGAAGGAGCGCGGGTGAGGGAAGGAGCGCGGGTGAGGGAAGGAGCGCGGGGAGGAAGGAGCGCGGGTGAGGGAAGGAGCGCGGGTGAGGGAAGGAGCGCGGGTGAGGGAAGGAGCGGGGTGAGGGAAGGAGCGCGGGTGAGGGAAGGAGCGCGGGTGAGGGAAGGAGCGCGGGTGAGGGAAGGAGCGCGGGTGAGGGAAGGAGCGCGGGTGAGGGAAGGAGCGCGGGTGAGGGAAGGAGCGCGGGTGAGGAAGGAGCGCGGGTGAGGGAAGGAGCGCGGGTGAGGAAGGAGCGCGGGTGAGGGAAGGAGCGCGGGTGAGGGTGAGGGAAGGAGCGCGGGTGGGAAGGAGGCGCGGGTGAGGGAAGGAGCGCGGGTGAGGGAAGGAGCGCGGGTGAGGGAAGGAGCGGGGTGAGGGAAGGAGCGCGGGTGAGGGAAGGAGCGCGGGTGAGGGAAGGAGCGCGGGTGAGGGAAGGAGCGCGGGTGAGGGAAGGAGCGCGGGGGAGGAAGGAGCGCGGGGGGGAAGGAGCGCGGGTGAGGGAAGGAGCGCGGGTGAGGGAAGGAGCGATAGGATAGAGAAGGTATTCATTTTGATGTACCCTATGATCCTATTAATGAGACCCTCTTTGGCTACTCAGCGCAGCAGAAACCACTACTCCTCGAGGTGTTATGCAATGGGCGACGCCTCCAGGCACTGGTGGACAGCGGTGCATCTCACTCGGTGTGTGACCATGGAACATTGAAGAAAATCGGAGAGAAGGCGGAGGAGACACAATTCTCAGCAACAATGGTGGACGGTACGAAGCTTCCTATCCACGGCGAAGCATCTCAGCAGGTGCATATAGGTGCGTTGAGGTGGAAGCCGAAGCTACTAGTCATCAACCTCAAAGGGTTAGATTTTATCTTGGGGCGAGATTTTCTGAAGCGGTTCAACCCCGAGATCGATTGGGTCAACAGCAAGGTGTGCATCTACAACAACGGGAAGGGATGCAGCTACAAAGCTGGACGGATACAGGGGACATTCCTGAAACGACACTGGCACGGTTCGAACGGACGGTGAACGAGAGTAACACGGGTTACCTAGCACTGGTCATGGCAGCAGCAGAGGAGGAGAAGTCGAGTCAGAGCTTCCTACCGCAATGAAGGAGGTCTTGGAGCAATATAAGGATATAATGCCCGACGACCTACCCGCAGGCGTACCTCCAGCACGCACCCACGAGCACGAGATCGTGGAGGAACCAGGTGCGAAACCCGTCTCACGTGCACCTTACCGACTGAGTCCGACAGAACTGACAGACATGAAGAAGCATACAGCATATTTACTGGACAGACAACTGATCCGCCCATCCACCTCTCCCTACGGCGCACCAGTTCTCTTCACCCCAAAACCAGACGGCAGTTTACGAATGTGCATCGACTACCGCGCACTGAACAAACAGACAGTAAAAAACAAATATCCCATACCGCGCATATACGACATACTGGACCAACTCCATGGTGCAATAGTCTTCTCGAAGCTCGACCTACGGTCTGGGTTACTGGCAGATCAAGATGGCGGACAACTCAATCCACAAGACGGCGTTCCGTACCAGATACGGCTCCTACAAATACTTGGTGATGCCGTTCAGACTCTGCAACGCACCAGCGACGTTCCATGCGGAGATGAACCACATCCTACGACCCCTGCTGGACGAGTGCGTAGTGGTGTACCTGGACGATATCCTCATCTACTCCAAGAACATGAAGGAGCACGTGGAGCATCTGCGGAAGGTGTTCGAAATCCTGCGGTAAAACAAGTTTTGCGTGAAGCTATCAAAGAGCGACTTCGCACTAGAGAAGGTGCAGTTTCTCGGGCACATGGTGAGTGTCAAGGGCGTACACGTGGACACACGGAAAATCGAAGCCGTTAAAAAGTGGAAAGTCCCGGAGAACGTGAAGGAGTTGCAGCAGTTCCTCGGCTTCGCCAACTACTACAGCAGGTTCGTGCCATAGTACGCGAAGATAGCGCGCCACTCACCGACCTACTGAAATTAACGGGATACGCCCTTCAAATGGGATACTCCTCATCAGCAAGCCATGGAACAGCTACAGACAGCACTGACTACAGCGCCAGTACTTATCCTACAAGACCCAGACAAGGACTACGTAGTTGAATCAGACGCAAGTGACCAGGCAATCGGAGCAGTACTGATGCAGGATCACGGGAACGGTTTACAGCCTATCGCCTACCTCAGTAAGAAGCTACACGGAGCAGATAAGGAAGCCTTAGCTATAGTCGTAGCCTTCAAGGCGTGGAGGTGTTACCTAGAGGGAGCCAAGACCACAGTTTACACTGACCACTGCAGTCTCAAATACCTGAAGTCGCAGCCAACGCTCTCACGACGACAGGTGCGGTGGGTGGATTTCTTGGAGACCCACTTCCACTACGACATTGTCTACAAACCCGGGCTCCACAACAAAGCTGACGCGTTGAGCCGCCCAGGTCATGTAGCAGGCATCCAACTCGATGGGATGAACCCTCTACTCAAGGGTCTATTCCAACATGGGCACTCCGTGGGCGCAGAGATAGCAGAGAAACAGAAGCTGTTATAGTGGGAGAAAGACTTAGTGATAAGGAAGGGTTCAGGAAAGATTTGGGTACCGAATTACGCCCCGCTACGGCAAATCTTATTAGAGGAGATTCATGACATTCCATAAGCGGGACATTTCCGCAGCAACAAGACGTTAGCGGGAATAGTAAGTATTACTACTGGCCCCAGATGGCAGCAGACGTGCAGCAGTTCGTCACCTCCTGCGACACGTGCCAGCGGATGAAGAGTAGCAAGTAGAAAAAAGCAAGGTACTTCAGCCACTACCCGTACCAGCGCGGCCATTGCAGGTCGTTAGCCTCGACTTCATCACAGGACTTCCCTCGACCTCACGGGGACACGATTCCATCCTCGTAGTGATCGATAAGTTCTCCAAAATGGGTCACTTCATACCGACCAACGCCACAGCTACAGCTGAAGCAACTGCTCGACTCTTCTTCGACCGCATCATCACCATCTACGGCATCCCCGCAACGCTCATCTCAGACAGAGACCCAAAATTCACGAGTAAGTTCTAGAACAAGCTTATGGGACTGTTGGGGACTAAGCTTGCGATGTCTTCAGCATACCATCCCCAGACGGACGAACAGACGGAGCGACTTAATCAGGTGGTTGAACAGTTACTGCGCACAGCTTGCAAAGACGACATCAGCCACTGGGACACACAGTTACCGACCTTAGAGTTCGCTTACAACAACGGCTTGCATGCGGCCACAGGAAATCTCATTTCTTCCTGTGTTACGGATGGGAACCACTCACACCACAGCAGCCAAACACACGGCACACGTCCAAGCCGCACACGACTTCATCACCACCATGCAGCAGCTATGGGAGAAGACTCAGCGACGTCTCACCACGATGCAGAACTCCCAGAAGCAGTATGCCGATCGCCAACGACGAGATCACTCAGTAGCTGTCGGAGATCAGGTGCGTCTTGATACACGCAACTTGAACCTGTCTCTTCTACCATCCAAACTCCGGCCTCGCTTCTGTGGTCCTTTTCTCGTGGAGGCACAGTGGCACCAGTTACATTCCGCTTGCGCTTACCAGATACGTGGAAGCTTCACAATGCTTTCCATGTTCAGCTACTGAAACCCTACAAGGACCCCAACCAACAGTTCCAGGGACGGCAGCTACCGCCACCATCTCCTGTTCTTGTGTAGGATGAACCGAGTATGAGATCGAGCGCGTTTTCACTCATCGGCGCCACGGCGGCAAGACCTTCTAGTTCCTGATACGCTGGAAGGGATACAACCCCACTGACGTCAGTTGGGTTGCAGAAGCTGATATGGGCAACGCATGCCGTGCTCTCAAGGACTATCTTGTCAAGCAGGGTGTATCTCACGCCACCCAGCTTTGAGGGGGGGACGTGTGAGAGTACGACGGCTTATGCCAGCCGTGCATGCCTGCTTTTACTTCATTATACTATTACTAGCTTAGGTTTTTTCGTGCATGCATGAATTGCTTGATTTCCTAGGCTAGGTGCTTTCCTATATTTTATTATAGTTATAGCACCGAGCTAGGTTGCGTACACCGAATTCTGGGCTATTTGGTTACCACCGAATTCGGGAAGGGTCTGTTCGGGACGCTTCGCGACCCTCGGAACCTTCGCGTAACACCTGGTTACTGGGCCTTGTGTCGAGCCTATATATAGCCTCGTGTTGTACCCAGGTGATCATTCAATTCACATTCTCTTTTCTGAGCTCGATCCTATATCCTCACACTGAACAAGCAGACAGCCTCCTATCTGGATACTGAGCAATCATAGTGGCCAAAGTCTGGCGTACCATAGGTAGCGGAATGCAATATCGTGAAAGTGATTACAACTACTAATGAAATAATGAAGCCTATAACAAGTATAGCTAAAGGCTAGCTAGGCGGGGTCCGCGAAGTCGCGATGGTTGGGTGTTGTTTCGAGGTTGCCAAAGCTCGAAGGTGATGCGAAGTACGTTCGGGCGGCGAGGTTGTCGGACCGAGCCCGATCCTTCAGAAATTCGAGTTGTGCGCGTATGAAGCGACTCGGTAAGGAATGGGAAAAAAAATCCCTTTTCAAATGCGGTAACCCAATACCAAACCCATTAAAACACTCGTTCGAGTGACTGTACGCCATACTTTTGAACCGTTATCGAGTCTCATACTAGTGGCATATTTTCTCACACTACCGACTTCCATCCATCCCGTCATGGTTTCCGAGTTCCTATGCTAGTACTCAAGAAGCTAGTAGGTAGGTAACCCGTTTGTGAAGCGCCTGCGACGCAATAGGACAAGCTCCCGTGAAGCGCAAGCGACAGACGCCAAGGGAATACCCCCGAGGTAAGAACACCCAGCGTCGTACCCGCGAGGGAAGATGCTCAGCGTCGTACTAAAGGTGCTAGTACGCATGAATTTGAGTGAAACATGAGAACCGCGCCTGTGAGCAAGCGCTAGCGCCTAGTGCGCTCGCTTAGACCGTTGCCACCTAGCGCCGGCGCCTAATAGGGCGCTGGCGCCTTGAAGGGCGCTGGCGCTTAGCCTGCTCGCGCCTAGTAGCGCGTCGGGGGCGCTGGCGCCGTTGTCGCGGGCGCCTAAGGCGCTGGCGCCGAGGGCGGCGCTCGCGACGCTGGCGCGGGCGCTGGCGCCTTAAGCGCTGGCGCAGCTGGGCGCTGGCGCCGTTTGGAGCCGGCGCCCTTCGCGCCGGCGCTGGCGTCTAAGGCGCTGGCGCCGTTACTGCTTGGCGCGGGCAGCTAAGATGTGGCGCAGTTGGGCTCTGGCGCGCACGCCTAACAAAGGCGATCCGCAGGTGCAGAGGCCTGATGACGCCTAGGGCGTTAGCCCAGTGGGCGTTGGCGCGTAGGCGCTGAGCCTACATGCGCTGAACCCAAGGCGCTGAGCCTAAGGGCCATAACCTACGCTGCTTTGTCCCGTTGCTGCCTTGCGCCCTAGGCCAGTGGCGCCTAGGGCGTTGGCGCCATGAGCAGAGCATGCGCTTGGGCCCTGTTCTCTGGCGCCAAGCACACAAGCTCTGTTCTCGTTACCACTAGGCAGGCTCGCGCCGCACACACTAGTGTGAAACGCCAAGTCAGTGTGGGTGTGCACAGACGCTGCATGTGCTGATGCCAGTCGCACAAGGCAAACAACTCACCACCTCCCTTCCCCCGCCTGTTCTCCACTGCAACCCTCCAGGCGTCACAGGCTCCCAGCTGAGAGTGCTCCTCTTATCAAGGCGGCAACAACAACGTGGTGTGAGAGAAATTAGGAGCATACCATCAATGTTTTTTCATGATGCTTACTGTTTTCCCATGCAGTATGTTCGAGCTGCACTTGTTTGTTTTTTTTCCATTCCATATGGTGGGTGCTGCCTCCGGGCCGTTCACACCTCACGTGCTGCACTCTCGGCTGATGGAATATCATGGAATGTCATCGCCCCGTCAAGCGTTGTCAGGTTCTCCCTGTAAACCCCATCATCCTCCATTTCTGAACCCGTTGGAACTCCCTCGATCCAGTCCGTTTTGCGTAAAAGCTGACATCCCACTTCCGCCGAGAGCAGCCACTTCTGCCCACATACCATACAGTCTTCCCCGGCTTCTGAACGCACAGCCGTTTCCATCCCGCAAACGCCCAATGACAGGCCTTTCTCAACCCTAAAAATGCGCTAAGTCCTGCCCCCCAACTTCCGGCAGATCCACACTCTCATGTGAATAAAGCCGGACCACTATTGAGGCGCCTCTTGGTCTAAAGTCGGGAGGGCTATGACGATCCGGTTCATCCTGTTGGTGAACAAGCAGGCCAGACGCGTGTGGCGCAGTACTACGAGTACATGCGCCTCGAGGAGCGCCGCGCCTTGGAAGGGGAGATCGTGCGCAAGTGCCTTGCACGATCTGAGCAACAGGTGGGTGGGTCGCCTCGTGTGCCATTGTAACGAGGAGACTCTTGAGTCGACTGAAAAGTTGCCTCGAGGAGCGCCGCGCGCTGGAAGGGGAGATTGTGCGCAAGTGCCTCGCATGATCGGAGCAGCAGGTGGGTCGCTGGGGAGGGTGGATGATGGGGAGGGTGGATGATGGGGAGGGTGGATGATGGGAGGGTGGATGATGGGAGGGTGGATGATGGGAGGGGGATGAGGGGGGGGGATGATGGGAGGGTGGATGATGGGAGGGTGGATGATGGGAGGGGGATGATGGGAGGGGGATGATGGGGGGTGGATGATGGGAGGGTGGATGATGGGAGGGGGGATGGGAGGGGGATGATGGGATTGGATGATGGGAGGGGGGATGATGGGAGGGTGGATGATGGGAGGGGGATTGGGGAGGGTGGATGATGGGAGGGTGGATGATGGGGAGGGTGGATGATGGGAGGGTGGATGATGGGAGGGTGGATGATGGGAGGGTGGATGATGGGAGGGGGATGATGGGAGGGTGGATGATGGGAGGGTGGATGATGGGAGGGTGGATGATGGAGGGGGGATGATGGGAGGGGGGATGAGGAGGGGGGATGATGGAGGGGGTGATGAGGGGGGATGATGGGGAGGGTGGTGGATGATGGGGAGGGTGGATGATGGGGAGGGTGGATGATGGGGAGGGTGGATGATGGGAGGGTGGGATGATGGGGAGGGTGGATGATGGGGAGGGTGGATGATGGGAGGGTGGATGATGGGAGGGGGGATGATGGGAGGTGGATGATGGGAGGGGGGATGATGGGAGGGTGGATGATGGGAGGGTGGATGATGGGAGAGGGGATGATGGGAGGGTGGATGATGGGAGGGTGGATGATGGGAGGGTGGATGAGGGCTATGATGAGAAAGACGCAGCCAGGACGCTGCGTCCTGCGTCTGGATGCAGCGTCCGGTCGCTAGGACGCAGGACGCGCGTCCAGACGCAGGACGCACGCCGAATGTTTTTTCGGGCAGCCCGAAAAAAATCGATCACGATTTTGACATTCGCGATTTCGACGCGAATGTCGAAATCGCGAAATTTCGACCCCCAAGCCCAATTCGCCATTGTAAACAAGCCCCCCTAGCATTTCATAACAACTCATGCAAAATGGAAATTCACTCAAACCTCTCAACCACTTCACATCTACGAATCCCACCTTTGTGGCCTACCACCACCAAGCACATTTAGCAAGGCAATTTGTGGTTTCTCATTTTCCCCTCCCAACAATTCTCTTTCATAAACCCTTTGAGGTTTTAGCTTAGCTTACTACCTAAACTACCTTAATCTTACATTGTGGGGGGAAATTTTGTGGTTGGGGAAAATTTTGCATTGAAAGTGTGGTAGGTCTTCCCCCCCCCCTCTCCCAAGCCCTATACTACTTTTTTTTGCCTGCCCGGGGGTTTTTTTTGCCCTGCCCGGGCTTGCGTCTGTTGTGCGTCTTTTAGGTCCGGGTTCTGCGTCCTGCGTCTGGACGCATGCGTCCAGGACGCAGGACGCGTCTTTCGCATCATAGGATGAGGGGGGGGGGGATGATGGGAGGGTGGTTGATGGGAGGGTGGATGATGGGGAGGGTGGTGGATGGATGAGGGAGGGGAATGATGGGAGGGTGGATGATGGGGAGGGTGGATGATGGGAGGGTGGATGATGGGAGGGGGATGATGGGGAGGGTGGATGATGGGAGGGGGATGATGGGAGGGTGGATGATGGGAGGGGGATGATGGGAGGGTGGATGATGGGAGGGGGATGATGGGAGGGTGGATGATGGAGGGGGGATGATGGGGAGGGTGATGATGGGAGGGTGGATGATGGGAGGGGGATGATGGGAGGGTGGATGATGGGAGGGTGGATGTGGGGAGGGTGGATGATGGGAGGGTGGATGATGGGAGGGTGGATGATGGAGGGGGGATGATGGGAGGGTGGATGATGTGATGGGAGGGTGGATGATGGGAGGGGGGATGATGGGGAGGGTGGATGGTGATGGGAGGGTGGATGATGGGAGGGGGATGATGGGAGGGTGGATGATGGGAGGGTGGATGATGGGGAGGGTGGATGATGGGAGGGTGGATGATGATGGGAGGGTGGATGATGGGAGGGGGGATGATGGGAGAGGGGATGATGGGAGGGGGGATGATGGGAGGGGGGGATGATGGGAGGGGGGATGATGGGAGGGGTGGATGATGGGAGGGTGGATGATGGGAGGGTGGATGATGGGAGGGGTGGATGATGGGAGGTTGGATGATGGGGGGGGGGGATGATGGGAGGGGGGGATGATGGGAGGTTGGATGATGGGAGGGGGGATGATGGGAGGGTGGATGATGGGAGGTTGGATGATGGGAGGTTGGATGATGGGAGGGTGGATGATGGGAGGGTGGATGATGGGAGGGTGGATGATGGGAGGGGGGATGATGGGAGGGTGGATGATGATGAGGGTGGATGATGGGAGGGTGGATGATGGGAGGTTGGATGATGGGAGGTGGATGATGGGAGGGTGGATGATGGGAGGGGGGATGATGGGAGGGTGGATGATGGGAGGTTGGATGATGGGAGGGTGGATGATGGGAGGGTGGATGATGGGAGGGGGATGATGGAGGGGGGGGGATGATGGGAGGGGGATGATGGGAGGGGGGATGATGGGAGGGGGGATGATGGGAGGTTGGATGATGGGGAGGGTGGATGATGGGAGGGTGGATGATGGGAGGGTGATGGGATGATGGGGGAGGGTGGATGATGGGAGGGTGGATGATGGGAGGGGGATGATGATGGGAGGGTGGATGATATGGGAGGGTGGATGATGGGGGGAGGTTGGATGAGGGGAGGTGGATGATGGGGAGGGTGGATGATGGGGAGGGTGGATGATGGGAGGGTGGATGATGGGAGGGATGGGGGTGGATGATGGGAGGGGTGGTGATGGGGGAGGGGGATGATGGGAGGGGGGATGAGGGGAGGGGAGGGTGGATGATGGGAGGGGGATGATGAGGGGAGGGTGGATGATGGGAGGGTGGATGATGGGAGGGGGATGATGGGAGGGGGGTGGATGATGGGAGGGTGGATGATGGGAGGGGGGGATGATGGGAGGGGGGGGATGGAGATGGGAGGGGGGGGGATGATGGGGAGGGTGGATGATGGGGAGGGTGGATGATGGGGAGGGTGGATGATGGGAGGGGGGATGAGGGGATGATGGGAGGTGGATGATGGGGAGGGGGGTGGATGATGGGGAGGGTGGATGATGGGAGGGGGGATGATGGGGAGGGTCGATGATGCGGAGGGGTGGATGATGGGAGGGTGGATGATGGGCGGGGGGATGATGGGAGGGTGGATGATGGGAGGGGGGATGATGGGAGGGGGATGATGGGAGGGGGGATGATGGGGAGGGTGGATGATGGGAGGGTGGATGATGGGGAGGGTGGATGATGGAAGGGGGGGGATGATGGGAGGGTGGATGATGGGAGGGGGGGATGATGGGAGGGTGGATGATGGGAGGGTGGATGATGGGGGGGGGGGATGATGGGAGGGTGGATGATGATGGGAGGGTGGATGATGGGAGGGGGGATGATGGGAGGGTGGATGATGGGAGGGTGGATGATGGGGAGGGTGGATGATGGGAGGGTGGATGATGGGAGGGGGATGATGGAGAGGGGATGATGGGATGGGGAGGGGGATGATGGGAGGGGGGATGATGGGAGGGGGGATGATGGGAGGGGGGATGATGATGGGAGGGTGGATGATGGGGAGGGTGGATGATGGGAGGGCGGATGATGGGAGGGTGGATGATGGGAGGTGGATGATGGGAGGGTGGATGATGGGGGGTGGATGATGGGAGATGGGAGGGGGGATGATGGGATGGGGGGGATGGATGATGGGAGGGGGGATGATGGGAGGGGGGATGATGGGAGGGGGGATGATGGGAGGGTTGGATGATGGGAGTGGGGATGATGGGAGGTTGGATGATGGGAGGTTGGATGATGGAGGGGGGGGATGATGGGAGGTTGGATGATGGGAGGGAGGGTGGGGTGATGGGGAGGGTGGATGATGGGAGGGTGGATGATGGGAGGGTGGATGATGGGAGGGGGGATGATGGGAGGGGGGATGATGGGAGGGTGGATGATGGGAGGGTGGATGAGGAGGGGGATGATGGGAGGGTGGATGATGGGAGGGGGGGGGATGATGGGAGGGGGGTTGATGGGAGGGTGGATGATGGGAGGGTGGATGATGGGGAGGGTGGATGATGGGGGTGGATGGATGATGGGAGGGGGGGATGATGGGAGGGTGGATGATGGGAGGGGGGATGATGGGAGGGTGGATGATGGGAGGGGGATGATGGGAGGGTGGATGATGATGGGAGGGTGGATGATGGGAGGTGGATGATGGAGGTGGGATGATGGGAGGTGGATGATGGGAGGGTGGATGAGGGAGGTGGATGATGGGGGTTGGATGATGGGAGGTGGATGATGGGAGGTGGATGATGGGAGGTTGGATGATGGGAGGTTGGATGATGGGAGGTTGGATGATGGGGGAGGGTGGATGATGGGGATGATGGGGAGGTTGGATGATGGGAGGTTGGATGATGGGAGGTTGGATGATGGGAGGTGGATGATGGGGGGGGGTGGATGATGGGAGGGTGGATGATGTGGATGATGGGAGGGTGGATGATGGGAGGGTGGATGATGGGAGGTTGGATGATGAGAGGTTGGATGATGGGAGGTTGGATGATGGGAGGGTGGATGATGGGAGGTTGGATGATGGGAGGTTGGAGATGGGAGGTGGATGATGGGAGGTTGGATGATGGGAGGTTGGATGATGGGAGGTTGGATGATGGGAGGTGGATGATGGGAGGTTGGATGATGGGAGGTTGGATGATGGGAGGTGGATGATGGGAGGTTGGATGATGGGAGGTTGGATGATGGGAGGTTGGATGATGGGAGGTTGGATGATGGGAGGTTGGATGATGGGAGGTTGGATGATGGGAGGGTGGATGATGGGAGGTTGGATGATGGGAGGTTGGATGATGGGAGGTTGGATGATGGGAGGTTGGATGATGGGAGGTTGGATGATGGGAGGTGGATGATGGGAGGGTGGATGATGGGAGGTTGGATGATGGGAGGTTGGATGATGGGAGGTTGGATGATGGGAGGTGGATGATGGGAGGTTGGATGATGGGAGGTTGGATGATGGGAGGTTGGATGATGGGAGGTTGGATGATGGGAGGTTGGATGATGGGAGGTTGGATGATGGGAGGTTGGATGATGGGGGGTTGGATGATGGGAGGTTGGATGATGGGAGGTTGGATGATGGGAGGTTGGATGATGGGAGGTTGGATGATGGGAGGTTGGATGATGGGAGGTTGGATGATGGGAGGGTGGATGATGGGAGGGTGGATGATGGAGGTTGGATGATGGGAGGTTGGATGATGGGAGGTTGGATGATGGGAGGTGGATGATGGGAGGTTGGATGATGGGAGGTTGGATGATGGGAGGGTGGATGATGGGAGGTTGGATGATGGGAGGTTGGATGATGGGAGGTTGGATGATGGGAGGTTGGATGATGGGAGGTTGGATGATGGGAGGTTGGATGATGGGATGGTGGATGATGGGAGGTTGGATGATGGGAGGTTGGATGATGGGAGGTTGGATGATGGGAGGTTGGATGATGGGAGGTTGGATGATGGGAGGTTGGATGATGGGGGAGGTGGGGGATGCGGGGGGAATGGGTAAACATTGGCATTGACGCGGTCTATGGTGGATGTGATTTGAGTGTTGACGCAGCAGGCATTGCCAAAAGCATACTCTACGTGCGACGGGTGTTGGGTGATGATGAGAGGGGAGTAGCTGATAGGGTGGGAAGACGAGCTTTTCAAAGGGCGAGGTGGTAGTGGGGAGTTAGGGTCTGGGGAGGTTAGGTCTGGGGAGGTTGGTCTGGGGAGGTTAGGTCTGGGGAGGTTGGTCTGGGGAAATTAGGTCTGGGGAGGTTAGGTCTGGGGAGGTTAGGTCTGGGAGGTTAGGTCTGGGGAGGTTAGGTCTGGGGAGGTTAGGTCTGGGGAGGTTAGGTCTGGAAAGGTTCCAGAGGAGGATGCGGAGGATGAGTAAAGGGAGATGCTAACGGGATGAATATTTCGTCTCCTAATATCTTGAGTTTATCCTCGTTTGTGCAGTGCTCGTTTGTGGAGCACCGCAACTACAAGGTGATTTACCGGCGCTATGCGTCGCTCTTCTTCCTCGTGGGCGTGGATGGCGAAGAGGTAAGACTCACTTGCTCCATCCCACTCAAAGAGGTAAGACTGGCTCGCTCCATCCCACTCTGGGAGTCACTTCCAACAAGTGACTCCGACTGGCGCCATCCCCAATCGCCACCAGTTCAAGTCCACCTGTTTGATTTCAAATCATCCTACTGCTGTTACTGCAGTCCCATCTTTGCCTCCTCAATTTCATCCTCCTCCGCTGACCCTCCATTTCCACCTCTGACTTGCAATCTCTCAATTCTTCTCCCCCTTCTCGCTCCCTTCCCCCCTGCCCGTCCCCACTCCTTTTTTCCCCCTCCTCCCTTGTCCATCTTCCCCCCTGTCGCCCATCCCGCCATGCAACCGTGCTCCTGGACATCCCTGCATCGCCCGTCAGAACGAGCTGGCAATACTGGAGTTCATCCACTGCATCGTGGAGACCATGGACCGATACTTTGGCAACGTGGTCAGTCACTCATACTGCACCTCCACTGCACGCTCACCACCTTGTGATAAAAGAGTGCTTTGAGTCGGCATCTCAAAGCATCGTTGAGAGACCATGAACCGATACTTGGGCAACGTGGTCAGTCCCACTGCACTGCACAGCCACCCCCTTGCATTGCAACCCCTCCCCCCTTGCTGAAAGGCATCTGTCTCTCCCTTGCTTTCTCTTTAGCTTCTGCTCTTCCCGTGGGCTCATTCGCTCTTTCCTGCCTCACCCGTATATGCAGTGCGAGGTGTATCGTGTTTCACTTCATCCCTTCACCATCTTGTATCGTGATTCACTCTATCCCTTCACCATCTTGTATCGTGATTCACTCTATCCCTTCACCATCTTGTATCGTGATTCACTCTATCCCTTCACCATCTTGTATCGTGATTCACTCTATCCCTTCACCATCTTGTATCGTGATTCACTCTATCCCTTCACCATCTTGTATCGTGATTCACTCTATCCCTTCACCATCTTGTATCGTGATTCACTCTATCCCTTCACATCTTGTATCGTGATTCACTCTATCCCTTCACCATCTTGTATCGTGATTCACTCTATCCCTTCACCATCTTGTATCGTGATTCACTCTATCCCTTCACCATCTTGTATCGTGATTCACTCTATCCCTTCACCATCTTGTATCGTGATTCACTTTATCCCTTCACCATCTTGTATCGTGATTCACTTTCTCCCTTCACCATCTTGTATCGTGATTCACTTTATCTAGAGAAGGCCTACTTCATGCTGGATGAGATGGTCATGAACGGCTGCCTGTCTCTCTCCCTCTCACACACCTTTGCCCTTTCTTCCAACCCTAAAACCGAACTCCTAACCCCATGACACAGTGCGAGCTGGACATCATGTTTCACCTGGAGAAGGCCTACTTCATGCTGGATGAGATGGTCATGAACGGCTGTGTCATGGACACCAACAAGCTCAACGTGCTCGCCCCCATCCACCTCATGGACAAGTCCTCGTAGTGTAGCCCACCATAGCACCCATGGTAGCAAAAAACCTTACTCACACAGAGAGCATTACGCACACCCATCCACCTCATTATCCATGCACTAGCAGCAGCTAGGGTCCCCGCTATCAGACATTTCTGCCACTTTTCAGGCACTCTTGTTTTTTCTGGGCCAATTCGACTTTTTTCAGAAATTGAATTAATTTGATTGATCAGAAATGATAAAAGGTTCATCTGATCCATCAGAATTGTTGTATGGTATATGTTTTATTCCTACAGGGGCTAGTACAATCAACAATATCGTGTGTTGTCCTGTCATACATACTGGTATGTTTTCCAAATGTTATGTTCTCACCATACATCTCGTCTCCGCTCATCTGTCAGACACGGCAGCACCTATCTGCACCGCACTGCAACCACTCTGTGCCGCACACAACAAAGCTGCTGGGCTACTGCCTCAACTGTCACGCATACCGCTTTTACTGCCCATGCTCTCATGCATTCCCTAATCAAGTCACCCATTCCTCAAGGCTGTGAAGAAATGAGCTTCAAGTCTGCTGCACACATGGGATGGGATGGGAACTACCGTACCCTGCTATCTGAAGCTTTGCATTGGCCGTTTCCATCTTGACTCGATCCACCATCTGCGCCTCGCCGTCCTCCCCTTACATCACAGACACAGAACCCATCCACACCGCACTGCACTGCACCACATTCACTCTCCGTCGCACACAACGAAGCTGCTGCGCTATCTGGCGATGAGCTTGGAATCCGCCGCTACGATTCTGACTCCACCCACCACCTGCACCTCACCGTCCACCCCATGCATCACAAACACAGCAGCACCCATCCGCACCGCACCACACCACTCCGCACCCGCTCTCCGCGGCACACATCGCAACTGCTCTGCTATCTGGCGATGAGCTTGGAGTCAGCGGCTACGATCTTCACTCTTTCCACCATCTGCACCTCGCCGTCCCGTCCACCCCATGTGTCATGAAAACAGCAGCAACCAACCGCAAAGCACAGCACCCATCCGCACCGCACCACACCCAGCAAACACTGCAGCAGCACCCAGCAGGACCCATCCGCACCGCACCACACCCACTCTCAGCGCTATCTAGCAATGAGCTTGGAGTCAGCAGCCACGATCTTGGGCGGTCCACCATCTGCACCTCGCCGTCCACCCCATGCATCACAAACACAGCAGCAGCACCCAACAGCACCTATCCTCACCACACCGCACCGGCTCTCCGCACACAACAAAACTCCCTGCTATCTGGCGATGAGCTTGGAGTCAGCAGCCACGATCTTAACGCGGTCCACCATCTGCACCTCACCGTCCGTCTGAAACACCGCATCCGTCAGAATGAACGTCCACAGGCTCTCACAGAACCGGTACGTGTGCAGGTGGCCCTGCCAGGTGGTGGAGAGGGACAATAGTAAAGGGAGGGGATGCGGAAGAGAAGGCTGTCAGAATGAACGTCCACAAGCTCTCACTACGTGTGCAGGTGGCCCTGTCAGGTGGTGGAAAGGGGTGTGGTGCGGTGACACACAGTACAAGAACAAAAAGTGAACGTTTACAGGCTCTCGCAGAGCCGGTATGTGTGCAAGTGGCCCTGGCAGGTGGAAAACCATGCAGTGCGGTGGTGTACGGCAGGGGAAGCCTGTGAGAACGAACGTTTACAAGCTCTCGCAGAACTGATACTTGTGCAAGTGGCCCTGGCAGGCAGAAAGGGAGGCAGCGCGGGCAGAAGCAGAAGGACAGGGTGCTGCCTTCTTTGGCCCACACCCTCTGCCTTTGCAGGACCAGAACACCCTATAAATCAGGCTCGTGTGAATGGTTGTTCGTGCGGGAGTGAACGGAAGGGAAGCAGGAGGTAAAGGCACGGGAGTTGAGGGGCTGGGAAGCGAGAGGATGGCTCACCTTGAAGTTGGTTTTGGACTTCACTTTGGTCTCGAGAGCCTCCACCAGCGACTGGAGGGGTGCAGTGCGGTGGAGGCATGGACATGCAGGGAGGGAGGGATGGAGGTTGGCAGGGAGGTAAGGGAGGGGGCGACGGATGGAGGAACAGATGAAGCGGCGAATGCCGAACAGGCAAACGGGCAATCAGGCGTACTGAAGAACGAGCGGACGAAGAAACGTTTGAATGGACGGACGGACGACGGCGAGGATGGGATGGAGCCGCGAGAACAGGCAGGCAGGCAGACAGGCAGGCAGGCAGGCAGACGGAGCAACGAACCAACTGAAACGGACGGGAACCATGGTGTAGCTACTATCTCGGACGCCTATTGAGGAGCCTCTACACGCGACATGGCGCCGCTACGACCTCACACGCTGCGAAGCGAGCCAATCATACCTTTCCAGTCCATGCCTGATCCGACTCCCTCTCCCCTCACCTTATCGAACTGCAGTATAACGCGGACGGCGAGGTCGGGCGTGATGGTACCGTTGGACACGAGCTCGTCGAGCGCGTCCGTCAGGCACTTGCCCAGCGTCGACTTGCGGTAGTAGTCCATGCTCGCCATGCTGCCGGCTACCCGGCTAAGATCTTGCCGGCTATCCGGCTACGGTTATCGGCTAACCGGCTACGCTTACCCGCTATCCTGCTGGTTTTGAAACGCCTTGAATCGCCGGCTTATTCGGATGGAATACCCTTAACGATGCTCGCAAGGGTGGGGATCCGTATTGCTTAGCGCTCGCAAGCGTGCGAGAAGCCTGCGACCTTGCCGCTTCCGCAAAAGTCTTGCGGATGTACGCTGCCTTACGCAGAGGCGCCGAAGCTTTGCGACCTAATTCTTTTAGCTACTAGGTTGCGTGGAGCATCTGACCTAATAAATTGAGCCGCAGTGGTAAGAAAATATACCTTTGGGCTCTCTGCTCAGCCCCGCTAGCACCCCTTGCGGAAGGGTGTTGCTGCGAAATGCGAGTTTCCAGCTTTGACGAACACGGTGTAACGGTCAGCGAAGCTCGCACCGAGAAAGGAAAGGGCAAGAAACTCGCAAAATAAGCCAAACAAATGTTACTTGCCTGGAGGTCTCACAATAAGCACTGTGCAACAACACTTCAGATGGTGCTTATTGGAAAAAACACAGGTTTCATATACTGTAATTTGCATCAGCTATTGGTGGTGCTAATTCCACCTACATTATCAGTGGAAATTGCATTATCTTGGCAATCTACCCTTTACTCTTCCGCTTCTTCCCAACACCTGCATCCACACTATTGCCTGTGCTGACTCTCCTCCCAAACCGCCCAGCCCTGCTCTCCTCCTCCCCCTCTTCACTCCCATCCCCGTCTCCCACTCCTCCCCCATTCCCCTCCTCATCCCTTCTCCCCCTTCCCCCCCACTTCCCTCTCCCAGCCAATCGAGCACCCAATCGCTCCTCCACTGCAGCAGCAGTCCGCGCAGCTGACTGTGCCACTCCTTCCCTCCACCCTCCCCCTCCCCCTCTCCCTTCCCCTCTCCCTTCCCCCCTGCCTCCCCCTCCTCTTCCCCCTCCCCCTCCCCCTCCCCCTCCCCCTCCTCCGCCCGCTCCCCCAGTGCCCCCGGCGCCCATGGCTTGGCTGTGCGAGACAAAGCGAGCGCCCAGGCCCAGCCTGAGAGGAGGGGGCAAAGGAGGGGATGCGGGGAGGAGATGGGGGGGGATGGGAGGGAAGAGGGGATGGGGCGAGGGATGAGTTTTGAGTCGACTTAAAAGTCACCTGTACGAGACAAAGCGAGCGCCCAGGCCCAGCCTGAGGGGAGGGGCCCAAGGAGGGGATGCGGGGAGGAGATGGGGGGGGATGGGGGGAGGGGATGGGGGGAGGGGATGGGGGGAGGGGATGGGGGAGGGGGGGGGGAGGGGATGGGGCGAGGGGATGGGGGGAGGGGATGGGGGGAGGGGATGGGGCGAGGGGATGGGGAGAGGGGATGGGGCGAGGAATGACAGGAGGGGATGAGGAAAGGGGCCGGGGCATTAGGATGGGGGAGATAATGGAGGAAGGAAATGGGGGGTGGGGATGGAGGAAGAGAAGGGGGGGAAGTTGTTGAGGCATGAACCCTTGTGCCAGTGGAACGCGTGGAGGCACAGAGCACTGTGAGAAAGCGAAATTTGCAAAAGCATTATGTGGGGTGGGTGGGATTGTGGGTATTCAGGCCTAGTGTGAGCTGAAGGAGAATGAATGGGGAGAGGAATGAACCTAAACCCGAATCCCTAAACCCGAGTGTGCATAACCTAAACCCGAATCTCTAAACCGTAACCTGAACGACCAAGGTGCATACCTAAAACCCATAAACCTGAACACATACTAATCCTAAACCCCTAGCCTAAACCCATAAACCTGCCCGTAACCTTGTACCCGTAACCCGAAACCACCAAGGTGCATACCTGGGTGGACGAGCCATTGCCTCCAACGCATCCCTGCCGGTCATCTCCGACTCTCTAAGAGCATCCCCGTTATAAACACCCTCTCTTCCAGCGTCAGTCGCAGCGTCTGCACCCTCGCCCCCTTCCCCCCTGTGAGCTGCCATCTGTGCGAGCATGCGCTGGGCCTGGCATGGCATGGTGCGACAAGGGTGTGATGAGGAGGAGCAATGAGAACCAGGGGGGAGCAAGGAGCGGCCAAGGCACATGGAAGTTTGGATGGGTTGGGGCCGGATGTTTTCCTCCTGTGCTTCACTGCAGACGCACACGAGGCGAGGCTGTATCTCCTGCTGCCACGGCTGTGCCTGGGCTCGCACGGGGTGCGGATAAGCACACACGAGACGGGGAGGGTCAGGGTGGGCACGGGAGGGAGGAGGAGGGAAGAAAAACGTGGGAAAGGGAGGGATGTACTGGGAAGAGAAAGGAAGGGAAGGAAAGGAAACGGAAGGGAGCAGGAAGGGAAGGGAAGGAAAGGGAAGGAATGGGAAGTGGGGGGAAGAGAAGGGAAGGGACGTGTGACGGGCAGCAGCAAAGGCTTGAATTCAGAAAAGGTAAGGCGGCGAAGAGATGAGAAAGGCACCAGGAGTGCGAGACGGGCCATAAGAAGTTCTTGGAACACCAACTCTCCTCCTCTGATGCCCCATCCGCAATCCCCCAACCCCTGAACCCTCGCCACAACCCCCAACCCTGAGCCTCTGAACCCTAGAACCGATTCAAAGAGGTTCAAACCGCAAAGGTCACGTGCGGCGCGCCTTAAACCGAACTTCGTGCATGCACCCCTCAAGCCATAGACGCCCCTCAGGCCATAGACGCCCCTCAGGCCATAGACGCCCCTCAGGCCTCTCAGGATAGAACGTCTATGGCCTTCCCCAGACCACTCGACCGTCCGTCGCACCATGGAAAGAGCCTCGTTGGAAAGGACCATTAAAGCCTGCTGCTCGCTTATTGAGGCGCCTCAAAATACGCTTTTCCCAGACCAACCGACTGTCAGACCATCCATCGCACCATGGAAAGAGCCGCGTTCGAAAGGACCACTTTAGCTTGCCGCTCGCTTTTTGAGGCGTATTTTGAGGCGCCTCGAGATACGCTTTTCCCAGACTACTCGACCGACCATCGCACCATGGAAAGAGCCTCGTTCGAAAGGACCACTTTAGCCTGCCGCTCGCTTTCGCCCGTCCCAACTCCGCTTCCGCCTGCCTTGCCTCCGCCACTCTTTCCCCCGCCCGCGCTGCCTGCCACCTGCGACGAGGCGAGCGCGCGGAGGCGCTTCAGCGGGACGAGGCGCTCCGCCATTGCGGGCGGGCGTGGCGCGGGTTTCTCTACCCGGGGGTGACCCTGTGAGCAAGAATGTACTGAAGTGTAACCTGAGTTGCTACTCTTGGATCCTCCAATAAGATGATATGGCTACAATAGGAAGGAACACGCGAGGTGATTGCTCACAGGCGTCACGGTCACGGAACCTGCGACTTGGGGGTCTCTTCTCTCGTCCGTGGTCGCTGCGGTGCGGAACATGCGAAATAAGGCGGTCGTTTGTGCTGCGTGATTTGTACTCGGTCTGGGCGTGATGCGAGAAACTGTATGAATCATCCATTTGAACACTTCAACGCATCTAGGTAAAATCTACAAATACGTTTTCTAACCACTATGAATCGCTATTTACAAGTTGCACAGCCCTCATTTGAACACACAGAATTTCCTTGCCTTTTTCAGGTGTAGTATTTGAGACTCTGGTTCAAGAAATGCAAGGACAGCCGAGCGCCACTGAAAAGGCAGGTGGAGTAATACGATGGACGCTTTTTTCAAACTGCCCGACCCGAACCTTTAGGCACTATCCTTGCTTGTGCTGCTTCTTGTGCGAGGAGTGGGCAAGAGGCAGAGGAAGAGAGGGTTGGTGCGGAGCAGAGTGAGCAGGAACGGGCTTGGGGCGGAACAGGAGGCCCTGCAGCACTGCCTGCGCTTCTGACAGCTGCCTGCGGTGTGTGGCCTGAGGAGCAGGTGGGGGAAGGGGGGAGCGAGAAACGGATGGGGAAAGAGAAGGCTGGTGCGGAGCAGCATGAGGAGGAAGGAGCTTGGGGCGGAACAAGCGGCCTTGCAGCACTGTCTGGGCTTCTGAGAGGTGCCTGCAGTGTGTGGCCTGGGAGAAGGTGGGGGAAAGGGGGAAGTGAGAAGCAGAGGAAGAGACAGCTGGTGTGACGTGGAACGAGCTGGGCTGAGGGCGGAACAGGAGGCCCTGCAGCACTGCCTGAGCTTCTGAGAGCTGCCTGCGGTGCGTGCACTGGGGAGCAGGTGGGGATAGAAGGAAGCGAGAAACAGAGGAAGAGACGGCTGCAGCACTGCCTGGGCTCCTGAGAGCTGCCTGAGAGCTGCACTGCGGAGCGGGTGGGGGAAGGGGGAGAGCGAGCAACAGATAGAGGAAGAAAAGAAGGTTGGTGAGGAGCAGCATAAGATGGAAGGGGCTTGGGGCGGAACAAGCGGCCTTGCAGCACTGCCTGGGCTTCTGAAAGCTGCCTGCGGTGCGTGGCCTGGGGAGCAGGTGGGGAGGAGGGGGAGAAGGTGAGGGAGTAGGGGGGGGGAGAAACGGATGGGGAAAGAGAGGGCTGGTGAGGAGAAGAGGAGGTGGAGTGGGCTGAGGGTGGAACAGGAGGCACTGCAGCACTGCGTGGGCTTCTGAAAGCTGTCTGCGGCGCGTGGCCTGGTAGCAGGTGGGAGGGGAGGAAGAAAGAAGAGGAGCGAGGCACACACACAGCGTGCACTGCACAACACAAAGCATTGTGCTTTTCATACCGTTGCGCCTTGCATATCAATGCATTGCAGTCGAAAGCGTGAATACTTCCTCTCAAGGCCCTTGTCCTCCTCCTCACACTGAGTGCACACAGACAAAATGCTGCAGGCACAGGTGGGGTGATGGGCTCAACTCCATTGCACATCAAGCATGCACCTCCACATATCATATATCACCCACTGTCATCCAAACGCCCTTTACACTCTCATTCACACTCTCTCGTCCATACCGCATTGCAACCCTCCTCACCGCACTGGACTCCAGGCCTCTCAAGGTGTGTGTGAGCAGCAAAGCCTCCTGCCGCAGTGCTGCCAGCCTAGCCTCTGCGTTAACAGGCATCTGCCGCACCAGCTGCTGCCGCTGCTGCACCACGTGCCGTGGCTCCCACACTTGTTGAGGGGCGTTTCCTGCTGCTCTGTAAGGGAAGCGAGGAGAGAGGGTGAGGGGAGTAAATGAAGTGCTGTGAGTTTCGCTGTTGCATTCACAGGGGTCTGCCCCACCAGCTGCTGCCACTGCTGCACCACGTGCCTCGGCTCCCAAACTTGTTGAGGGGCGTTCCCTGCTGCCCTGCAAGGAAAGGGAGTGCGTGGGTGGGTAGGAGAAAATGAAGTGCTGCCAGCCTGCCCGTTGCGTTGACTGGCGTCTGCCCCACTAGCTGCTGCCGCTGCTGCACGACGTGCCGTGGATTCCACACCTCCTGAGGGGCGTTCCTGGTGCCCTGTGGGGGGAAAGAGGGGGTGGGTGGATGCAAGTCAATAAGCGTTGAGACAGCACGAGCTGGCTCCCACACTTGCTCCAGATTGGAGCATTTATGGCTGCGCAGAAAGGGAAGGAAGGAGAGCGTGGGTGGAAAGGAACGGGATCAAAGCCGCTGCTGCACCATGTGCCTCGGCTCCCACACCTCCTGAGCATTCGCTGCAGCTCTGTGGGGGAAGGGAGAGTGTGAGTGGACGGAAATCATGGGAGCAGAGGGAGGAAAAGGAGGAGAGGAGGAGGAGGAGGAGGAGGAGGAGGAGGAGGAGGAGGAGGAGGAGGAGGAGGAGGAGGAGGAGGAGGAGGAGGAGGAGGAGGAGGAGGAGGAGGAGGAGGAGGAGGAGGAGGAGGAGGAGGAGGAGGAGGAGGAGGAGGAGGAGGAGGAGGAGGAGGAGGAGGAGGAGGAGGGCGACGGTGGCGACGACCACGAACACTGGCAGCGGCAAGAAAGCAGTACCCGCCTTTGCATGCTGCCTGCTGCAGCTTCAGCAGTACTTGCCCCTGCAAACGCACTACAAACGTTCTCACACTCTCCCTTCCTCACACTACCTCACTTTCACTCCCTCACACCCCATCCATCCGCATGGCAGTCACACTCCCACTCACCCCACTTACAAGATCCGTTTTTAGTCTCCTCGTCTCCTACACACTCCCAGCCAGAGCCGCTCTCACCTGCTCCTTCGCCCCTGTGCAGTAGTGCCCCCCTGTGCAGTAGTGCCCCCCTGTGCAGTAGTGCCCCCTGTGCAGTAGTGCCCCCTGTGCAGTAGTGCCCCCCTGTGCAGTAGTGCCCCCCTGTGCAGTAGTGCCCCCCTGTGCAGTGCACACTGCATACCCCATGCATGCACTACAGGAAAACACCCTAACAAACCTTCTCACACTCACACTCTCTCACTTCCACACCCTGACACCCCATCCATCCAACCGCATGTCACTGATACTCCCCCCACTCACATGATCCGCTCAAGCCTCTTAGCTTCCCCCACGCTCCCTGCCAGCGCAGCTCTCACCCGTTGCCTCACAACCTGTCAAACACGCCACACTCCCCCCCCTCCCACTCACATGATCCGCTCAAGCCTTTTTGCTTCCTGTACACTCCCCGCCAGTGTAGCTCGCACCCGCGCCCGCTCCTCCTCGCCCTCGCGAATGCGCCTCTCCAGCTCTGCCACGTGGCTCTGCTGCCGCATCACCTCCCTGCGATGCGCCTGCACCAGTCGCTGCTTCTCCTTCTCGAATCTTGAAACAGGGAAAGTGGGGGAAGAGGCCGAGAGCCGAAATCAGCAAGCAGTATTGAGATTTCAAATTGCTTCGCACCAGTCTCAACTCGTGACGAAGCAAGCCTCGGGACCGACACGCACCTATCCTGAAACCGTCGCTTCCACGAAGCTTTACTCGCAGCATCCCCATCTCCAGAAACCATCGCTTTCGACCCTCCCGTTTCCGATCCCTGGACGTTCCTCCTCGCGCCTCCACAACGACTTCCCTCATCTCGAGATCTCATCCCGCCTGCCGATAATTCCCTGCCATCTGCTGGTTTCCGCTTGCTCCCTACAGATTGTACAGACCATACACCCACGCCGACCAACCCTTCACCTACGCATGCTACCGATTGCTCCCGCGCGCCTTGTGCGGCGCTCTCTGCACGGGCATAGCTGGGCCCAGAGACTGCTTCACGTGCTGATTTTGACGGCTTCCCCGTGGAATCCGAGCCGCTCCAGTATTTATTCCACGCGGATTCCCACAAAGCATCGCACGAACCGAGTCGCCGCAATCGGCGGCAGACTAAAGCTACGCAGCAGAGGTCGCGATAGCCGAGATTCCTCGCGACGCCGAGGCGGAGAACTGTGAGCCAAAGATCGTCGGGTAGCGTGCTCACGGCTGACGTCATGGTGACAGCTGATGCAAAGGCAGCGCGAATCGCGGTGAGCTGAGTTAGGTTCCTTGGTGTGCCTTGCAGGCTGAGAAAAGCTGGCGTGACTTCCCATGCACAGTTCGTTGGTAAACAAAATACACTTCACGGGAGGGCAGATTGCACAACCAGCATGGCACAATAAAAGGAGAGTACAATATCGAGGAACTGTGGCCTGGGAGGGGCGCTTGTCTTGCCATTGGTTGGCTGCACGATGTGCTTTGGTGGACCAAAACTCCAACCAAGGGCAGCTTCGCGACTCGGATTGCACGTTTCAATGCGCGGCGCGGTCTCAACACCCCAAAAAGCCTCACAGCAGCATTGTTGCGTGCGTGCTTGGTCCTCACAAACAATTTGTCACGCCCCCCCCCCCCTGCTTTCCCATCCCACCACCCTCATCTCAACCCACCCAGTCCCTCCCGTGTAAGGCAAAGAACCCTGACAACGTGTCCCCTGGCTGCTTTGCCCAACCTTTGCTTGTGAGCTTTTACGGTGTGACAGCTTCCTTCCATTCCCCTAGTTTATGAGACCAGCTGGTATCGTACACGAAAGTATGCCGCAAGGCCTCACATGTCAAGGCCCATACGATAGGTTTATGTCCCGCCGTGTAACGTTCAAGGAAAAAGTAGATTTCTCTCTCCTGTAGTGTTTTCGTCGTAAATAGGTTCATCCGCTTCTATTTCCAATACGACTCGGAACCCGCCTGATTTATCAGTCCCTTTGAGCTGTCAAACAGCTTCCCCCCCCTCTATTGAGCCCACCATGGCGGTGGGCTACCACCCGCGCATGGAAGCCCCCTCCGCTATTCCGCGGCCCAGCGGAATACCTACTTTACGGCACGCGAGCGCCGGCGCCGTCACGGCTGCCGGCCAACGGCACCGTCACGATGTTGGAGCCGACGATTTGATGGCAGGGACAGGCATTCCTTTGCCGGGAGACCCGGGACCGTTTTACTTGGGCGAGTGGCGGAAGAGCTCCGAGGCGCATCAGCACGCTGTGGGCGCGGGGGAGGCGCAAAAGGCATGGGTGGATCAGAAGGCGGCGGAGGCGCAACAGGCATGGGAGGCGGAAAAGGCATGGGAGGCGGAAAAGGAGGAGGAGGCACAAAGGGCGATGGAGGCGCAAAAGGCGGCGGAGGCGCAAATGGCGGCGGAGGCGCAAAAGACGCGGGAGCTGCAGCGGAGGATAAAGGAGCTGGAGCGAGCCAGCCGCGAGCAGGAGAAGGAACTCGCGTCGCTAAGATCCCAGGTGCGTTTGGTGTGAGACTTATGAGTCGACTCAAAAGAGATTCAAGGTGCGTTTCCCGTGGCTCGCGTTCTCGCAGAACGGTTACACCCAGGTTGCCCTGAAATAATGTTCAGGAATAGCCTCAAGATGACGCACTGGAAATGTCGTATGCACAGGAGGGAGGGGAAGGGTATGAAACGGCGCGAATGCTCAGCGGCTCTACGCGGCATGCGGTGCAGCGCTGCTCGTGTATCTCTCCCAACGCATGAGTGCGACTCTACTCATCAGTGTCGTAAATGCTTTCGTGCTTTTTTTTTCGTCCCCCCCTTTCCACCCGCGCGGCGCCTTTCGAACAGAAAATTGCAGCAGAGCAGAGCCTGCGACGGGAAAAGGAAGCTTCCGCGTTGCTGCAACAGATGCTCCAGCAGGAGCGGGAGGCGAAGGCGGTGATGCTCGCGGCGCGCGAGGACGAGGCCGCCGAGATCGACGGCGAGAAACGCGCTTTGATCGCGCGGAGCAGGCAGCTGGCGGCGCGGGTGGAGAGAGCGGAGGAGCGACTGGAGGGGCTGGAGCAAGAGAAGGAGGCCGTCATACTCGATCGCGACGCGATTGCTATGGAATCGGAGTAAGTCAGCAGTCACTCCCTAATGGGTGTTGAAGTCTGCTTTTGAGTCGACTCAAAAGCGAGCGGAGGAGCGATTGGAGGGGCTGGAGCAGGAGAAGGAGGCCATCATACTCGATCGCGACGCGATTCCCATGGTATCGGAGTAAGTCAGTAGTCACGACCGATCCTAGTAGGTGTTAGAGATGCCCCTCCCCCTCACTCCCCCCCCCCACTCCCCAATCCCCGAGATGTTCCCTTCCCTCCCCCCCACCATTCCCCCCACCCGTCTCCCCCGTCTTTCCCCACTCCTACCCACCCTCCCAGACGAACATTGAGTGTGTGGGGGTTATGGGTTCTGCCTGGGAAACGCAGAGCAGTGAGTTAAGGCGTCCTGGTGACTATGGAAAGCGAAAGTGTGGGAAGTTTGAGTTCTTCATAAGCCCATTATCTAGCTCGCTATTATCACTTACCTTTTCCGTCGTGGCTGTGCTTTCCCTTTTTCGTGGCAGGGTGTTGGTGGAGCGACTCGGGGAGGTGGAACAGACGGTGGAGATGCTTCGGCAGGAGAACGTGAATCTCGAGGCGGAGCTGTTGGCCGCACAGCGATCGCGAGATACGTACTGGACGCACAGTATTGCACTGTACCAGGATAAAGCAAAGTAAGATTGTTTTACTGTATACTAAAAATCAAGGATGTCAATGTTGGTGCATCACTGATAACAAATTTGCTTTTATTTGGTGCACTATTCTTGGCAGGCTGGAAGAGCAGTTAGCACAACTGAGCAGCATCAGCAGTAACCTGGCAGGAGGCAGGACCAAGGCTGCAGCTACTTTGGGCAAGAAAACCCAGACCCCCACCAGAGCCGGAGCAGGCGGCGCAGCAGCAGCGGGTGGCGCCCGCCGAAACTCCCTCCCATTCCCTAACCCACGCTCTTCAGCATCTCCTCTCACTTCCCTAGAGACCTTCACCTCCCCATTTGCACTCCACCCCACCGCTCTCAACTCCGCCCCACAGCTGCTGAAACAGCAGCTCACGTTCGGCACGGTGTACGAGTGCCCGCCGCTGCTCGCGTCAGCGTCCATGTCAGCATCCACGTCAGCAGCGATAGGCATGACGCAGCACGGTGGGCTTGACATGGTGCGAGCAGCCAGCATCGCCAGTGGGGCCCCTTCTACTGCCAATGCTGCTGCTAGTGGTGGTGCAATCAGTGCAGCAGGGGGGTTTGACTCAGCCGGCATGCGCAGGAGTGGGAGCTTTACAGCATACCAGGCCCCAGCTTCCACTCTCCTCACACGCAGCCTCTCAAGCAACACGGCAGAGCACAGGGCACGGCAGGCCAGCATGGCAGCAGCTGGTGGTGGTGGCAGAGGTGAGATATTGAATGGAGCTGCAGGGCTGGCTGCGGTGCATGAGGGCCCTGAATGAACCGGTTCGCTCTGACTGGCCCTCAACGGCCCTGACTCAACAAATACTGATGAATAATAAAAGGCACTGGGTTTGTAGGATTGTTCATGTTCCATTGGAAAATAACTTGTGGGTGTCAAAGCAAGTGGAGCACAGTAAGAAATCCTATGGGAGACAGTAAGCACAGCACAGTGCATGCCTATGACAGCGGGGCTGTCTCTAACGTGTGGCGTGCAATTTCATAGGTGCCACGGGTCTTTTTGCTTCAGAATACCGTGGTGCTCTTGGCGGGAGTTTATAATAGCAATGTGCATGTGCTGTGCTGGCCTTGAACGAGAAGGTTGTTCGAGCTCTTACCTTGTTGGAGTGTCTCTGTTGATTCCGTAGCTGGAATGAAAAACTTTTAACCTCGGTAAGAGCTCACTGGTGTCAAGCTTCTTACAATGAATAGGGTAAAAGGTTGTTCTCCTCCATACCTGGGCTATTTTGGTAGGCAGGTGGCTCACTGTCAAATGTTATTATTTGTATAGTCTCTAGTGAGGTGCTCTCTAGTGAGTACAATGCAATTAGGTTGGAGTGCTTGTACTGCCTTGCCTCTCTACTCTCGACATTCCGTTGCTCTCTATTTCTAAGATGGTATCATAAGTAGGTTTAGTATCCTAGCCTAGCTCGCACACTAGCGCCCTCCACGCTCTAGCATTTCGTCGCGCCCTCCGCGCCCTCTGAAACGCGCCCTCCGCGCCCTCCAAAACGAGCCCTCCGCGCCCTCCGCCTTAGCTCGTCGCGGAGCCCTGCCAGGCCAGCCCGTAGTGGGCGCCCTAGGCCAGCCCGTCGTGCGCGACCCCTCCCTCCGCGCCTAGCCCTCCGCGCCTTCCACGCCCTCCGCCCCATACGCGCCCTCTGCGCCAGACGCGCCTTGCCCGCGGCCCCCGCCCGTTCACGCGCCCTCCGCTTAGCCCGCGCCCTGCCCTTAGCCCGCGCCCTGCCCTTAGCCCGTGCCTCCCCTTTGACCCGTACGCTCCCACTCACACTTGGCACTCGACCCTTTTCCCATCATCACCCTGTTCGATGAGCCCTATCCATTCCTACTACCATTCATCTCTAGTTCAGCGGCTGGCAGCCGCTTCTCTCGCCGGTCGCCTAGGCTAGAGCCGTGTAGCTACTAGCTCCTCGCCTCTAGCGCCCATATCTAGAGTTCCTCTCCGTTTCACGCCTAGCCTAGGTCGCTCCGTGCTCCTAGCCACTAGCTGCGTCGGTCTCTTGCCTCGCCACACCTGGCGCTCCTTGATTTCCCTCCTCGTTCGTAGCTCCAACTCCTCCGTGCTCCAGCCGCCTCTAGCCTAGCCTCCAGTATGGAGTCCCGCCGCCTTCGGTTCTATGCGGAGGGACTCTCGATCGAGTTCAGTACCTGGCAGCGCCAGGCCATGCGCTACCTCACCAGTCAGCATCAGGACGGCGCCATCTTGTGGGCCCACGCGTCTGGTGCCCTCAAGGCGCCCCTGTCCCCCTATCCCCTCCCGACCGACCCGGGGCCGACTCCTGCGGAGCAGGCGGACTACGACCGTCGTGTCTTGGCAAGGGACGTGTGAGACTCTCGCGACGCTGCCGCTGCTCTTGCGCTGACGGAGCTCCTTCCACCGACTGAGGCCGTCCACTTTGCCCAGGTGGAGACTGCGAAGGGGTTTTGGGATGCTGTTGTTGTGCGCTATTCCACCCCTTCCTCTGCCTCCCTCAGTCGCCTCCTCATGCCGTTCGTGTTCCCCGACCTTGGCTTGTTTGCGACTGTGTCCGACCTCGTAATTCACCTGCGTTCCCTTGACGCCAGTTTCCATGCGGCCTGCACCGATGCACAGCTTCTTGTTGCCCCCCCACCCATGTGGCTCACTGTGCACTGGTTAGTCACACGCCTCCCTGACTGCCTCGCTACAGCCCGCGACGCGCTTCTCCTGAAGCACCCCACTGAGCTTACTATCGATCTTCTTGAGACCGCTCTCGGGAAGATTGAGAGTAACCTCCTCTCCGTTTCCTCCGCCACTGACGCAGAGCCCCCCCCGTCTCTTTGCGGGGTGTGCCGCCCCTCAGCTTCCCACTTTCACTGCTACCCGCGCTTCTGCTGCTGTGTCGGTTTCTGAGGACATGGCCGCCGTCTCTGCCGCTGACTGGCAGAAACTGGGCAAGTGTGGCAAGAAGGGCAGGAAGGGAGGTGGAGGAGGCGGTGGAGGTTGTGGCGGTGGACCTGGGAGCGGTGGCGGCGGCGGCGGTGGCGGCGGCGGCGGCGGCGGCGGTGGTGCACCAGGAGGGAGCCTTGGAGGAGGTGCAGGACAGACAGGCCCGCCTACTGGCGGTGTTCCGCCCGGTGGGGGAGTCGGACCTCAGCAGCAGCAGCCACAGCAGCGCCAGCCGCAGCAGCGGCAGCAGCAGCAGCAGCAGCAGGGACAGCAGCAGGAGCAGGCACCGCAACAGTTCCAGCCTTGGGGGCCCCCACTGCAGTGGGGTCCGCAGCAGCACTGGGGTCCCCCGCCGCAGTGGGGTCCGGGAGGACTAGGGAGCACCGGCCGCAGCAGCAGCGGTTCCAGCTGGGCCCCTCGCCCCCCTCGCCGTGACACCGGCCCCTGTGACTACTGGTGCCTCACCGGACCGGGCAGCCCCTGCGTCTGCGGCCGCGACGACCACTCTGCCGCGCGGTGCTTCCGCCGCCTCGACGACCTCTACCATGCCCGCTGGGGCCCTGGGGCACCCACTCCGCGCTGGGCTCGCCTGTTAGCCTGTAAGATTCCTGTTTTTACTCTGTCTATGGATGATGCTCGTCAGTATGCTTTGTATGCTGATGTTGACTATAGTGCTGATGAATCTGTGTGTTCGCGTGTTCGTAGATTAGCTTGCTTGCCTCCTGCTAGTGTAGACTTGTGCCTCCCTAGCCTAGGTGCTTGTGTTTCAACTCTAGGTGCTTGTGTAGCCTCCACACCAGGTTCGCCACAGGCAGTGGCGTCCTTGTCGTTCACGCTGGACCCTGGCGCGTCACAGTGCTTCTTCCGCGACCACACAACACTCACACCGCTCCTTGCTCCGGTACCGGTAGCCCTGGCTGATCCCTCCCGTGCCCTGTGGTCCCCTCTGGTGTCTTGCGCGGCCTCCACATCCCTTCATTCACTCGGAACTTGGTGGGTGTTGGATACCTCCGGGTGGGCGGACTGCAGTCTGTACGGACGCTGTCACTGGCAGATTTTTGGCCACATTCGCCAGGGAGAAGCGCTCCGGTCTCTACGTCCTCCACACCGAGCACTCCTTAGTTTCCACGTCCACTCAGGTCACTGCTTCCCCCCAGGTTCCTGTGTCTCCACCAGTTACCAAGTTCGGTCAGGTAGCTGCTTCTCCTCCTGTTGTCGCGTCTGGTCAGGTCGCTGCGTCTTGCTCGTGTTGGTCTTTCACCCACCAGACGGTCTTGTGGCACCACCGTCTTGGCCACCCGTCGATCCCCCGCCTCCGCACTATGGCTAGTCACCGTCTTGTCACAGGTCTCCCTAGAGTCTTCCCGTCGCTCCCTCCCTCGCCTGCACCGCCGTGCACTCCTTGTGTCACCGGCGGCCTTCGTGCCACTCCCCACTCCTCCTCCCTTCGTCCGGCCACTGCTCCCTTCCAGACGCTCCACTTGGACGTCTGGGGCCCTGCACCTACGCAGGGACCTGAGAGGGAGCGCTACTTTCTGGTGGTCGTCGACGACTTCTCCAGGTACACCACGGTGTTTCCTCTCGCGAAGAAGTCCGAGGTGACTTCTACGCTGATCCGGTGGCTTCTAGCCACTGAGGGCACTCGTGGTCGTCGTGTCTCCTGTCTTCACTCCGACCGTGGTTGTGAGTTTCGCTCAGGCATTCTTGCCGGATTCTGCGGCGAACAGGGCATCGTACAGTCCTGGACGCTGCCGGAGTCCCCACAGCAGAATGGGGTTGCTGAGCGCCACATTGGCTTGGTCATGGACATCGCCCGCATGTCCATGATTCATGCCCGTGCCCCCCATTTTCTGTGGCCCTACGCGGTTCGCTACGCTGCGCACTAGCTGAACCTCCAGCCGCGCGTCTCTCGGCCGGAGGCTTCACCGACCAGTCTTTGGACCGGGTCCCCTGATGTTGGGTCGGCCTTTTGAGTTGGAGCGACGGAGTGTGCTGCTGGCTCGGACCACCGCCAGCGCCTCCACGACCACCACCGCCGCTGCCACCTCCTCGACCACCCCCTCCCCTGCCGCTGCCACGCCCACCGCTGCCCCCACTGCCGCCCCCGCCCCTGCCACCGCCTCCGCCGCTGCCGTCACTACCCCCACTGCCGCCACTAGTCTCTCCAGCCCCTCCTCCACTCCCACCGCCTCCACCCCCGCCTCCCCGGCCGCCACCTCCACCCTTGCCTCCTTTGGTCCTGCGGCGCCCGCTCGAAGCAGACGCGGTCCCGACCTTCTCAGCACCAAGGAGGTCGACAGCAGAAGCAGAGGCGACAGAGGGGAGAAGGGGGGAAGAGGAACATCCCTCAAAGAAGGGGGTGCGGGGCTCGCTATGAGAGGCACCTACGGCGACGATGCTCGCCTCAGCTGCAAGTAGGTCCTTCTCGAGGAGGGCAATGGTGAGTTCAGTAGGGGAGCGAGCTAGAAAGGAATCCCTGACTGTGCGCAGAGAGTCAGGGAGGCGGGTGACAATGTGGTAGAGAGTGAGCCAGAGCGGGGGGGGGTTGCTAGCAAGGAACTCGGCAGGCATAGCAGCGCGAAAGCGGGCCTCACTAGTCTTGAGGTGGGTGATGAGGTCAGCAACAGTGTGAAAGGAGGCCAGGTCGGGGAACAGGTAGGGCAGTGAGAGGCGGCCTAGTGCGGCAGACGCAGGTGAGGAGTAACGAGCAACTACAGCTGTGTAGAGGTCCTTAGCAGTCTTGCACTGGCCGAAGTGCTCGCGCTCATCTAGCGGTAGGGAGTTGCGAATAGCGAAGCGAGCGTGCGCGTCACGGGTCTGCCACTGGGAGCGCAGAGTGCTGTCAGCAGTAGT